GAACATATTTTCTGCCTCATTCTGTGACAAGAAGCTTTATCAGATCACAAAACGAAGCATTTGACTGGTGTTGTGGAGTAAAAAGGTTATCATTTTCTCTTTTGTTGGACAACAGGTTTAGAAATGTGAATACAAGGGAGGTTTAGCTTTAGGCATTTTAATTTAAGCAGGTTTAGCTTAGTTTACAGAAGGCTACCTGCTGCCATCAGAGCAAGTAATTACTGCATTCACGCGCTCCTCGGATGCTCTCATTTCCCGAGTTGTGCTTTTAAGTCGGAATGTGAAAACAACATGGACACTCTCGTTACTACAAAGATGTGTTGGATTTGTATTATTAGAGCTTTCCGACTTGAGTTCATTAATTTTCTCAGTCTGGAAATTATTTTTCACGTGCGGTGCTGCGATGATGTTTCTTACGTCCGTTTTGGAGAACCAGAGGACAAATATTTCAATCGATCGCTCAGGCATGGTACCGAAATGAGGCCCCGAAATCTGCGTTCAGATTCGGTTCTAGTACATACCGGTTACATAGGTACCGGTGCCATATTGGTACCAGGTTTCGGTACCCAACCCTATGTGTTATTCAAAGTCTTCTCAAACTATATGCGAGGGACTAAAACGCAAGTCAATTACTGAAAATACTGTCTTCTGCTAAGGCTCTCAAATCTCATTCAAGCTTTTGCACATGCATTCAAACCTGGCATGTCATGATAAGTGCGAGAACCAATTGAGCTTATGCACTGTTTATTTTCCTGTGGCTATATGCCATCCAATAAGTTCTCCTAAATACAATTCAAAGTTTAGTTTGTTGATCACCAAAAATAAATAAAAGAAAGAAAGAAAGAGAACTTAACTATTATAACTTTTGGGATTGAATTGATTCTCAAGTCTTTGGGAGCAACTAGAAACTATCTCATAACTTGTTTTTGTGAACAATAAAATGTTTAACAAATGAAAACCAGACCCCAGTGTTTGTAGAATGTGTGTCTAAAATGTTTTGGTAACTGAAATCGGATTTGAGACTAAGTTTTGGAAGAGCAAAATATTTCTGTCATGCCAGCAGAGCTGATCCAGACAGTAAAATTCAGATATATTTTCACTCTAGACATGTCTACTTGTCTCAGGCTCAAGGACAGCTATAATCCTCAAGCTTTGCACCTCATAACATGACTGATTCCTTCATCTCCCTCTCCAACAAATATCATAAAACTACACAAAACCTACAAGAATATGAATCACTTTAGGTGTAGTCACTATTACAGGGTAGTCTGTGATGGTTTATGATCTAAAACCATTTTCATACATGATGCATAGGGGTGTGCCATATCATACCATCCACGATAATACATTTTTACATGAAAAAAGTGTCATATCGCGATATTAAAAGGCTTGTTTGAGATGAGCAAAATCTGCGCAGAACTGATCACCCCGAGATGCATGCCGGTTAGAAAAGTGTCCAAGTTACGTCTGACTTGCTCTGATGTCATGCTGACGTGTGCCAAAAAACTCTTGCGACGACGAGGCGGCTGTGTCAGATTGTGCAGTCGAGCACAGTTGCAATTAAAGAAAAAATGGATGAAAAATCCACCTTTCGTATGGAATTAAATAGCAAGCACATTGAGTGTCTTGTTCATCATATTTATTTTCATATAAAAGCAACAGAACTGAAATGATATCATGTTTATTAGCAACACAGCATGTGAGTGAGAATAACGCGATATCCGCCTTTGATCTCGTTGTTATCTGTTCCACTTCGAGAGATCAGAACTGTCCGTCTTGCCTGCGCTTATTTCACTCGTCCCCTCACTGCAGCCGCCTACTCTCACCTTCATTTCAGGCGAGGTGAGGTGAGGCGAGGCGCATCTCAAACAAGCCTAATGATATAGCGACGCGATGACGTATGGTGGATATATGTTCCCTAGCGCACACAACAACACCACAAACCCAATAGGTGTGTTCGACTTGAAACAGTGCTGCGCAGACTGATCGGTGTATGACATCAAAGTATCGTGAGAGCGGTTCTAGAGCATATTCGAGCGCACACTCTTACCGTCAAAAACAGGTGAGGCGCATATCTTTAGCGAAGCAGTGCGGAGAGCCGCGGCTCCGCTGGTGTAAACACAAGCATTGACTAGAGTGGCCACGTCAGAGCTGTAACGCGCCGTAGACGCGTGCAGTGTAGGGGTAAGTTACTCTTGCGGTATTTTGACGTCATACACCGATCGGTCTGCTTCAAGTCGAACACACAACTGCTGCTGCCACCTCATGACAATAGAATTACACTCTGAATTAGGTAGTCTGTCATCGAGGACAGTAGCTCATTGTAAAAGGATAGAAAATGCCCTTAATTTTGTTTGCACTAATAGATGCTGCTGCCTGCCTGCTGCAATCACCAATAAACGTTGTTCTGTTTTTTTCTATATCGTCATAAATACCGTTATCGCAAATATTCTTGAAATATCGTGATATAATTTTGAGGCTATATTGCCCACCCCTAATGATGCATTTGGAGAAAATTGCTCCATCAGGACGTCCAACAATAAAATACATCAAACAGACTAATGCAGAAAAGGAGAGTCTAGGATTTCATTCTGAGCGGTGGTGTATTTAGTTGCATTTTATTTTATTATACAGATGAGAAAAGAGGAGCATGATTGTCGATAAAATAAGGAAGAGCACACAGAATCCCTCCCAATCCACATTATTTCCAATTGTTACCTTTCCACCGCATTAACAATGAATTCCTGTATGCTTGTTCTATTCCCATCCAGAAGTTAGTTGTGTATTTGTAACATACCATCCTAGAGCTGGCCGTCCGGCCAAACTGAGCTATCGGGGCAGAAGAGCCTTGGTGAGAGAGGTAAAGAAGAACCCAAAGATCACTGTGGCTGAGCTCCAGAGATGCAGTCGGGAGATGGGAGAAAAGAGGAGCATGAGAGCTGAACACTGCCACCCAATGCTGTCTTTTATCAGCATCCACTACTGGCAAGTGGGATAAAAAAAAAGTTTAAAAGTTCTTAATTAGTAAGTAAGGGGAGGACTCA